AGCTAGGTTGGGATGTGTTGTCACATCCACCATATGGCCCTGACCTTGTGCCTTCAGATTACCATTTATTTCGTTCCATGCAGAACTCCTTAAATGGTAAAATTTTTAATGATGCTGATGATGTAAAAACACATTTAATTCAGTTTTTTGCTGGCAAAAATCAAAGTTTTATGAACATGGAATTATGACACTGCCTGAAAGATGGCAAAAGGTCATTAACAAAAATGGACAATACCTAATTGAATAAAGTTATATTTTTAAGCAAATATTTTGAATTTTCCTTCTTATTTAAAATCTGCAATCACTTAGTTGCCAACCCTATATTTCTTTCTTCCCTTTTGCTTGGTCCTTCACTGATGTCTGCCGATAAATGGCGTTCGCTTCTAGACAAAATTTCCTTGCAATTATGGCGGGATGGGTCCACTTATGTCTACTGCTGATGTCTGCCACTGATGTCTTCCTTGTATGGGATGGTTCTTTGAGAGTCTGGAAAGGCCGGTGCTTTCTACCGCTGTCTGCCGAGGAGCTCTGTCTGTCTGGATTTGTGCCTCTTTTATACACTTTTCAGTGCAGGAGAGTGATGATATGGCTTACTATCGTATTGGTTTGACTTTTGAGCTGAGTCATCACAAAAGCAAAACTGCTTTCACTGACAAATCCCATCATTATTCATCAATTGTTTGGTTGTGCCTTGAAACGATGTTCGATTTCCGCTATGATCGGGAGGGCATGAAGTGGTGTTTTTCCACTTTCTTTAAGTTTTATTCTCTTATAAATTTATTTAATTATTTAATTGTCCTCTCGTCCTTTTCTTTGCATGTTGTGAGATTTATTGCCATTAATTAATATTCTAAATTGTTTCTCTAAATCATTAGGGAAGTCCCTAGAATTGGAAAAATAGGCAAATTTCTCTTACACTTTGATCCATGTATAAACAAACTTGGAATCTTCAAGATGTGGGTTCAAAAGAAAAAGGATATAAAATAAATACAATGTTTAAATACAATAAAATCTCTAACTAATTAATTAAAGTGACAACAAAGTGGCTAAACTAAGATTATTACATATAATGTAAATATGTAAATAACAAATTCACAAATACATACACACACATATATATAGTAACAACAAATTTTGGTGGGGGGGGGGGAATGGTGGTCTTCACAATTTTTATCAATCTATTCTATTTACACAAACAATTGCCATATTACAATGGGCTTTATTATGCTACTAACTGCTAACTAAATTTCAGATAAATTTGCTCAAGCCTACTTGAAATTTAATTAGTAGTTAGTAGCATTAATATAGCCTGGTGCAATCTGGCTTTAATCTAAAATTTGGGTTTGTACATGTTTATATTTGTATTCATTCCACACCAATAAAAAAAAAAGCACAAACTTGCACTAAAAAGTTTCAAATATAAATAGAAAAATTATATAAATTAATTATATACTACATACACGAGGTCTGTTATTGATCATCAATGAATAAAAAAATGTCAACATCCACAACACATCAACACCTTGTCTGGTACTGTTACCAGTGCGTTCTGTGAAAAGTAAAGTTTATCACTAATGTTTAATGGTCATTATCTATGCAAGAAATGTGCATGTTCTTTGTAATAACTTTCATCAAGCATACATTCAATTTAATTTGAATATTCACATTCTAATTGTGTTCCATTAGTTAATCTGTACATTTCATCTGAAGAAGAACTATATATCAGTTCAAAAACAGTGATAAACTTTATTTTTCACAGAACGTACCAGACAAGGTGTTGAGAATAAAAAAATTTCAACAGGGTTGTACTTAGCAAAGTTTTTACAAGCCCTCTATGCAGTCTTCAGCCATGTACAGTACAGCACTCATTGCTAAATGTCAAAGCTATTTTCATGGAAGAGTGTATGGATCACTATATTGCAATTAGAATATTTACCAATGGAAATCAACCTCATACCAGCAATTCCTTGAACACCACTTACAATCTGCATTTGTGCATCAACAACTGATTTCATAACAACAATACTCATTGCCACATTGCTAGAATTGTAACATCACTGCTAGTGAAATGAGATTAGGAGATCCTTGAACATTTGTACAATTCACTTAACATGTCTACATGATTTGGACTTGTTCTAGAAACTAAAGAAGCTTTTACAAGATCAATAATTTCCATTGACAGATGTCATTCTAGCTTCAACAGAGTGATTCATGAGCTCCATCTGTGAAAAAGACTGTGCCAACAGAAACAACACTTAACAGACACGGCAACATATGCTATACGTGGCCAGAAGCTAACATGTTGGAATCAGTATGGTGGAGTCGTAAACAAATAGTCTGACTCTGGCAAATTTGAAATGTGCAACTCTAATTCTGATCTTTCCCTTTTACTTTCCTAGCTGTTAAATATACATAACAAAGGAAAGTACAGGAATTGTGTCAAATTTGACCCTCCAAGTTTTGAGACCTCTTGAATCCAAAAGTCAAAAAAATTCCTTGGATGTGTGTGTGTGTGTGTGTGTATAGGCATCTATTTTGCTTAATATCTCAGAATGGGGTAAAGATTAAGTATTGAAATTTGGCATGGTAATTTGTATATGAGGGGCATTGGCAAAATTTTTACCCTCTGTACCCAGGTCAACCTAATACATTTGTACATCTCTGTTCCTATATTTGGACTTATCCAGCCTCATTGAGTGAAGATTGGAATAAAGGTGTTAGTCATATAACGAATAGAATGCAGTTATGGTCACACAAAGCTGCGGTCAAAGTCTACCTAGGTAGTCCCAATGGCTGCGCTTCCGACTGTTTGTGCTCCTGACGGACTCCTCCTGGAGGGGAGCCACCAGCAGGATGCCAATTGTTTTATGTTACTAGTCATTGATTCACAGTAGTTCTTGAACAAAAGAAAAAAAAGGACACATCTACTAAAAATGTAGTTAATCTAACCTAACCTAACCTAACCGAAGCGCCGCCATTGGGACTACCTAGGTAGAATTTAACCAATTTTTTAAATCAAGACAATTCAGAAATGGATATCACTTTTTTCACTTTTTCTTAAATCTCTAATTTCTTTAAAGACCATCACGAAAACTTCTAGCAAATTAAAATCTAACTTATATCTTTGTGAATAATGATCATAATGATCTTTATAATAAGAATTAATCTCTTTCTAATTCATTTTTTGTAATAACTTGGATAAACTGCAGCATTCAACGTGTCTTTTTGAGCAACTTGAATAAGGAAATGACTATTATTATCATTAATATTATCTCACCTCTAACACCGGGTTCTTCATCTTTAAAGCGTATATTTTTAATTTTCACAGGTCTCATACTAAGTGTGGATAGTATTAAACGCTGTCGAAAGAAGTTTGAACCTTCGTAAACAAGACACGTGTTCTTAAAGGCAGCCATTTTCTCAATAGGTTCGAATAGACAGAATACGCGATACGGAAAAACGAATAAGAACGATAAGAATTGATATTTAATAAGAAAATTTACAGTTCGGTACTTATTATTTTGTTTTTTAATAAGGTATAAAAATTTTTATTTAATTAATATAATTTTTTTTTATTTTTAGGGAATGATAAATGATTAAATGATTTTTAATCCGTTTTGTTTATCATTTCAATTTCACTGGTAGATATCATCACGTATGCACGTGGAAGTTTATTTTTTGAACAGTTTTATGTGGAAATGTGAACCAATTTTGCTCTAACATTGTTTTATATGTTAACAGAAATATAAATCTCGTGACGTTTAAATTGATCGAAATTATTATGAAATTTGTTTAAAAATGTGTTCATTTTATAAAAATTCCAAAAATGTCATTTTCTCTAGTAATGACAAATTACTCATTTTTCCTGAGATAACAAGGTAAATATTTAATTTTAATCATTTAAATCTTATTTAAAATTATGACTGTATTATATTTTATTAGGTAAAATTGCAGTTCTAAATGAGGGGTTGAATATCGATTTCTTTACTCTTATGGCTATGGCCTACAGCAGTGTTTCTCACCGGGGGCGATATTGCCCCCATGTGGGCGTTTTTCCATGTTGAGGGGGTGATTAGTAACAATTTATATTTTGTGGGCGAAAAACAATTTTCTGGGCGATATAGTAAAACATTATATTAAGAATAATTAAATATTTTATTCGTTATATCGTACAATAATTAAACAAATAACAGTATACTAGTCACTAGTCTATTCAATGCAGTAAGAATTTGGCGTTAGCCTTGGCCCTCAGCATCGGAATTTTGAAGTGAAGGGGGCTATATTATATTACGGTTTTATTGAAGGGGGCGATGATTCATTAGAGGTTGAGAAACACTGGCCTACAGTAACGGTTGTCAACGTTTCTTGTGTTGCAAACTCTTAATAAAACTCCACGCCGTGATGGACTGCAGACTCCTAGGAGTCTGCGGACTGCCGGTTGAGAAACGTGGGTATATAGCACCGTTAAGGTCCTAACCACCTCATTCGGAACTGCATGTGCCTTTTATTATGTGAAAAAGTAACTATAAAAAACTTTCATGTTAAAATTTTATGCAGTGAAACTTCAACTGTTCTGAAATTATCAACTTTAAGTAACAAGACAGATAAAAATATAGAAAAAGAAAGTGAATCAAAGTCTGCAAATGAGTAAGAANAAAAAAAGAGAGAGAAAGAAAATAATTTTTAAAATGTTTTAATGTTTACAATCATCATTGAGGGAACATTCTTATTATAAAACTACCATGGAATGAAATAATAAAATAATTTCAGAAATATTTTCTTTTTGAAATTTAAACAGAAAATTAGTAAAACAGAAACAATTGATTTTCTTACATCTGTATGATTAATAATGTGTTTTATCTGTTTCTAATATATTTGATCTCTTAAATTTTTTAAATTTGTTACACATTTATGTTTGACTGATGGAAAAAAAAATCAACTTGGAAGATATAGTTCTGAATACATCTGAATAAATTTTTCTAAAAACAAAAACTCTTTCATTTTAAAATATTTATTTAAAATATATACAAACAATATTTACAAATACTTATGTTTGTGCTTTACTTAAATTAGTAAAACCAATACCAACACAAGTAAGTAATACTTTTTCAGTTCCTATATTTTCATTCTCTTGATGTTGCACTTCCATCTTGAATATAACTTGCAAAAAATCTCTAGTATGACGTAAAAACTGGATCCTAAAATTAAGAATAATGTGAAATCTTTATCAGCCTATTAATAGATACATAGGGTAATCAGTATATTCTCAACAACTTTAATTCAATATAAAAAAGTAACTACAAGAAATATTGAAATTACATTAAAAATGGATTAATTAAGACTAAAAAGGAAATTAACAAACAAGGTTTTGAAAGTATTTACCCTCAGAAGTCACATTGTAATTAAATTCAGCTTGATACAGTCTACTTGAGTATGAGTGTAAACACTTTGAAAACCTCAATAGCTTACTTCCATTTTAGTCCTAATTAATCTATTTTTAACAGAATTTCAACATCTCTCTTAGTTATTTTTAAATATAACTGATCAATTTCTGAACAATTTAATTCCTTCCATGTCTTTTAACAAATTAAGAAAATTTTAATATGTTTAAAATTGCTTCTAGCAAACAATATCAATATTTTTGCTTAAGGAACAACATATTCTTTGTTTTCCATTTATATTATTTAGTTACTGATGCTGTTTTGAATTACTTTTTCTAAACTATCAATTGCAGTTTCTCATAATAGTATCTGTTTAATTATTTTGCCAAGTTATGATCTTAAATAATAAAGTTTTTAAGATTTTGGAAACATATTCATTAAGGAAACTCCTCAAATGCAAATACAATTCATACTGTATGTTCCAGAGCAAAATCATTTTAGAAAAGTCAAGCACTTTTGGGCTGTATGAAATCTGTTATAAAGTCTGCTTATTTTTAAAATTATATACAGTACATAACATGAAAATTTTTTCTTTATGAATATAATACAGTATTATCTTTGATATGATAATATTGTTTTTTTTTTTAAATTTGCTGATAACAGTTAATGTTATCAGCAAATACAATATAGAATTACTTACATGTATGGTGACAGTGGACCAGTGATAACTTTTGATACATCTACTTGTCCTAAAGCCATGAAAAGAGCAGCTAAACTCTGATTTGATGAATCAATACATCCACCCTAAATTAATTAATTTTAAATTATTGAAAATTCTTTATAATAGTTTTCATATATCAAATAAATAAATAAATATCTCAATTATATTTAAGTTGTTACTAAAACAAAATTTGAAGAACAAATTTATATCTAATCAATCTACTTCTTCACATACAATTTTTCATTACATAGATTTATTTCCTTGACTAAACCCTGGATTGAAACGCATAGGAAACATGTTGAACTACAGTAGACCCCTTATAAAACGGGTTCCTATAATTACGATTCCTATAAGACAGCAAAAAAATTGCGATGGTATCCATAAAAAATGGTAAAAAAAAACTCCTGTAATTACATAAAACGTCATCGGGCAGCCGAACTACTTTCCGCGCCGTCAAGCGCCACACTACGGAGAGATTACTATCGTCTGTACAGTATTATATATAAATTAGGTACTGTACATATAATTATATATTAATTATATATAAATTAGGTACTGTATATATAATTATATATTAACTTAATTTATTGTAACTTTATTATAATTATATATATGCTTTCTGCCGCCTGGCAACACGCTACGGAGATTTTAGGCTAGTAAGTTGAGTTTAT